CAGTTTACAGGCAAGCAGAGTTGCTCATCTCAGCTGATCTTCCAAGTAACCCTTTGGAAACTGGCCCCTTTGTGACCGTTTGATCGTTAAGTCATTGAGTTTATTTGCTAAATCTGGCAACCATGCCTCCTCTGAAAAACAAGGCCCTCTCTGGTGACCTGATACCGCTCGCATGTTCTATGACTGTCTCACGGCTGGGCCTGGCAGGAACGTTGGCTGTTAGCACCAGAAGTGCTCCTCTAAGGGACTGACAGGGACAGAACTGGGAGAGAATACTTATATGTCATGTTGGGGGGCGGGAGGAGGGGCTTGGGAAAGACCTACGAAGACTCTGCACCTGCTTTGCGGCAACTTCGTTTCCTGTGGTCACTTGGGAACCTCCTCCATGGTGGGGAAGTTCCTTCACATCAGTGCCAGAAATAAAATGGAGTCACTCTAGTCCAGCTGCTGAATTACTAAGATCAAGAAGGCTGAGGCATGAGTCTACTCTCATTGTAACTAACCTGGGGACTTAAACTTTTGAATTTGCCAGTCCTGTGTCAATGCCTGAATGTACACCAAACCTCTGATTGTCCCCCAAGAGGACTCATGTGGCTAGACCACCTGGCATCCAGCATCCTGACTGCCTGACATCTGACTGATAGCCATCCTGGGCCAATCCTAGGGCTAAGAGTGCAGGATTGGTTATTTTCAAGAAGGCTCTTTTTACTATAACGCTTAACTGCTCTTTCTTCTTTGGAACACCTCTGGGTTTTTGTCTACCTGTGTTGCCCGTGTGCAAACTCAAAGGCCCTTGAATAAATCTTTATCATTTATTTCTAGCCAAAGCCTCCAGACCCTTTTTGAGTTCATATGACACATGGTTGGAGCAGCTGCACACACAATATCACTTCTCTAACCCAGGACGCAACCGAGATCACAACCTACTTCTTTGATCTCACACTGAGATACATTTGGGCTGACCCCCTAACTGCACACTGGTTCCAACTGAGGGCCTCAAAGGCACATTGAGCTTGTGAGTTCTGGGAAGTAGGTCAGCCAAACAAAAAGGTGGTGGTGGAAAACAACCTCACTCATCCTCTCCTTAATTCTCATGACACCTATGAAGTGGGTGCTAATATTAATCCCAACTTAAATGAGAGAGAGAGAGAGAGAGAGAGAGAGAGAGAGAGAGAGAGAGACTCACAGAAATTAACTGACTCAGCCAACATAGTTAGTAAGTGACAGGGCCAAAATATGGACCGAGTCTTCTGACCTATGCATTACTGGCATACACCAAGGCTAGCCTGAAGCAGGCAGGGACTGAGCACCCTCTGCCCAGCTGCAGGAGTCTGATGCTCCGTGGACCAGAGTCTCAGGGTGGACAAGGCCCGGTGGAGAGGTTTCCCAGCCTGGGGGTCTACTTCCTTCAGCCGTCTCAGCTCTCTGGCCAAAGCCATTCCTGTACTCTGCACGTGTAGCGCTGTGTGTGCGCTGTGGAGACTTCCTGCCTGAAGAGCTGGAGCTGAAGCGGAAGCTCTCCCTGACTTTTCCCCAACAGAATGGCCAGAGGTTGACTTAATTGCGGTGTTTGGAGAATTCCTCCCTAGCGTGGGTGTTCAGACAGTCAGTCAGCTTAGGGCTGTGACTTCGGTCCTTCCCCCAGCCCTGGGGGTAGATCTAGGTTGTCTGGGCCATGAGAACCTTCTCTTCCGGTGAGTGAGGAGGGATGAGGCCACAGGGACGTCTTCCCCCATGTTTTATGTGTACGTGGCTTCTCCCCGCTGTGGGTTTTCTGGTAGTGGATGAAGTTCAAGTTCTCACTAAAGCTCTTTCTGAACTCAGAACATTTTATCAGGTTTTTCTCCCAGGCAGGTCCTCAGATACTAAAGGTTCCCATTGCTATGGGTGAACACTTTCTCACAATCAATATACCTATACTTTCTCCTCTGAAGAAAAATTATACAAAAACTTGGAAATAAGGCAGAAGGATCAGGGTTAGCTGATTCTCACAACACAGAGAATCATTCAAGCAATAATTTTCTCAGTTCTCCCACAGAAAGGACTCAACTAGTACCACTCTAGACACAGAAAGATGCTGACTGATTACAAAGAATGCCTTGGGCATTAGGGGTCCATCCTCTTTTCAGAATACCATTCAAGGGGAATCAAATTTTCTTTGACTTCTTACAGGTATACGGTTTCAATTAAATAAGATGAAGAAATTCTAGAGCTCTGCTGTACAATATTGCACCTTTGGTCCACAATAATGTGCAATTAAAATCTGTTCAGAGGATAAGTCTCATGTTGTGTTCTCATGAAGATAAAATAAAATAGTCCCTTTTCTTTTAATCTTCCCTCAGTCTTCTGGTAGGAGATGGGTGGGAATGAGAGACAAAGACAGGAATTAGATCCAAATAATTGTTCAGACACAAACACCCAGAACCTCAAACTCACAATGTATTTGAAGATCCTGAAAGGCCAAGGAATACAGAACTTTTCTGGGTAGACAGAAACAAGGGATGAGTCTTTACAGGTGTTTTAATGGGCTCATTTCTTTCGTTCTAAGGAATTTTTATATTACTCTGTCAAAGTTGTCACTGCAATATCATGTATATATTTTGTAAAAATTTTCAGACAACCCAGACATTTATAAAATGAAAAGATATTGCAGATACAACTGCTGGTAACACTTTTAAGTGTAGGGAGCGGCCATAGGGTTAAGCCTTGGACTGACCTGTCCTAGACAACCCAGACATTTATAAAATGAAAAGATACAACTGCTGGTAACACTTGTAAGTGTAGGGAGCTATAGGGTTAAGCCTTGGACTGACCTGTCGGCAAAGCCACAAACAAGTCCCAGTTTAGCGGGCACAGCCCTCTTAATATGAGGCTTGACCTTACGGCTTCCTAGACATAATTAGGCTTGACCTTATGGTTCCCTAGATCTTATCTGGGTAGCTAATGGGCTGTGGGAGGTGCAGCAAGTACTGCCAAAACAAGTGAAACTCACAAGAACATTGTAACTATGGTGACCACTACCTTGTTTACCTCTGGTTATAAAATAAAGGCTCAGCTTGCCGTCTGGATCTCTCTCTGTGGCCTCAGCCAGGCACAGGAGATCCACCTAGCCTAGACCCAGCTTATTCTGTCTGTCTTTTCTAAATCCTGCCAGCTTATTCTCTGTCTGTCTTTTCTAAATCCTGTGCCACCCCCTCAGGCTCACCGAACCCTTGGCTGAGCTGGCCCGGCACAGTGTGTTTTTCCAGACTTCCTCTTTGTGTCTAAAAATACATAATTTTATACATCTTTCCCAAACACATAATTATTACTCTTCCATATTCCTTTTCTTAATTGTCAGGGCATTGTTCTATCTCATTCTTCCTAACGGCTGCATAGTAATCCATGTGTGGTTGGTATCACAACCTGTTTCTTTGATCTCACACGGAGACCCATTTGGGGGGACCCCAGGCCCCTAGCTGCACTCTGGTTCCAAAAGGCTCCCTCTTGTCTGCGGGCTCTTACACTTCTCGCTCAGCAGCCACATTTCTGTCTTTGACCTTTGCCTCCAACTCTCTGTTGCCACCTCTTTGGCTAGAAAACCCAGGTTTGGACTATTTACTCAGATGTGAATTTAGTCCTCTTCAGATGGTAAGTTCTTGTTTTGAATTTTGTTTTGAGATTCTATATCTATACCTATATCTATCTTCATCTGCTATCTATCTATCTATCTATCAAGAAAGACAAAGGTAAGCATTTTTCTAGTAAGGTCTTCAACTAATTGGGGTGAGGCCCATTCACATTATAGAGGGCAATCTGCTTTATTCAATGTCCACTGATTTATACATGTACATGTATATATGGATGTACACACACAGACACACACACACACACCTGTTGGTCCTGTTTTTCTGGATAACCCTAATACAGACCTAAACTGAAGGCTCACTATTATGTGCTGCTTTGACAGCTAGTAAAACGAGGAGAGATGTGAATGGCCCAACTTCAAGTCCCCTCCCCACTCTGCTTCCTCAGATCAGGTCCTGTAGCCAAATAACTCTCCTTATCAAGGAGACCAGGCAGAGCTCCTACTTACTCTGAGTAGTGGGTTTCGGAATTATTCAAACAAGTCAACCACATAGTACATCCTCCCAGGGGAACCAGGGGGCACCGCATAATCTTTGTACTAGAAATGCCGAGACCCAGAGCCCCTGGTTGCTCGCTCTGTTCCGGAGTGCGACTCCGGGTGGCCCTGTGTGGCATGTGATGTCCTCCCCCTTCAGGATGGGAGCATATGTGAGCAATCACCAGCTGCTATCTTATCCGTCCAGTGTTAGGTGCCATGGGTTCAGCCATCCCCCTAACTATAAGGCAATGGTACAAATAAGAGGTGTTTAAAACAAAAAGTTACTATTCCATCAAATTCTCCCAACACCTGGGGTTGTCATGTAAACTTTTAGCCAATCTATTAATGTCTCATTATGGCCTTAATTTTTATTTCGTTGATTACTCAGGAGATTGAGCACTTCTTCATGCATATTGTCTTGTCTATTTGTATTTTTCTTTGGTAGCGTTCTGATGAAAACAAAATGCAGTTCTGCTTAGCTCCTCTGGGAAGCTGACTCCCCAGGACGCAGGGCTTGGCAAGAGCAGGCTGCGGGCCAAGTCCTGACTCTCCGGGCAGGTCAAAGGCCATGGGGCAGGGATAGCTCGTCCCCTTCCTGGGAGGGTGCTGGAGGACCCAGGTGTCCTGAAGGACCCAGAATGAGTAGGAATTCCAATCCTGGCTCCTTGAGGCTTTCTGTTCCTAGACCTCAGTCATCTGTAAAATGAATGGCTTTCATATTTGCTTTATCTCACACACCCCTACACTATATGTTCTTTCATATTTGTAGTGGACTGAATTGTGTCCCCCAAAATTCGTATGTTGAAGCCCTAACCTGCAGCTTGTATCTGGAGAGAGAGCTTTTAGGAGGTAATTAAGTTTAACTGAGGTCGTATGGGTGGGACCCTGATCCAATAGGACTTGGCTTTATATGGAAAGAGAGAGAGAGAGCGAGACCCACAGATACACACTCCGTGTGAGGACACAAAGTGAAGGGCGTCTGCAAGCCAGGAAGAGGGGCCGCCCCAGAACACTCTGCTGGCATCCTGGTCTCAGCGTTCCAGCCTCTACAACGGTAAGAAGGTAACTTTCTATTATTTAAATCACCCAGTCGATGGCATTTTGCTGTGGTGGCTCGAGCTGACGACTACAATATTGTTTAATGGACTTGTTTTGTTTACTTGAATACACTTATATAAAAAGGAAACTTTGACATCTCTGTAAATGGAAAATCAGTAGCCCTCACTATTAATAGAATGAATCTGGGCCGACCAGACACTGGGCCTTGAGCCCAGGGTACTTTTAGGGGTTTATGAAAATACTTTAATTTTAATTTTTAAAAAATTAACAGAAGAAACAATAAATGTAATAATGAATCAGATCTGGATTATATTCTTACTTGTACTAATGCAATAATAACATGTAACTTTAAAATATATATTTGTATTGATTTCAGAGAGGGAGAGAGAGAAACATCAATGATGAGAGAGAATCATTGATTGTCTGCCTCCTGCACGCCCCGCACTGGGAATCAAGTCTTCAACCTGCGCATGTGCCCTCCTGGTTCATAGGGCAACGTTCAATCACTGAGCCACGTCAGCTGGGCAGTAAAATGTAATTTTTAATCGAAGAAGGGGCCACCCAAGGTAAAAGTGACCAGGGCCCCTGAAAGTCAGAATGCAGCCTGGAATGAAGGTACCTATGAAATAGACGCCACGAGGATTCTGCTGAATTGAAATAGAGAAGGGCTACATCTTAATAAATTGACAACCAAATTTGTCCTTTGATTAAACTGTTAGTTCAGATAAAACTTGTATTACTTTTCCTGCTTGTATACTGTTTTCCATACAATTGCTTTCATACAGATTATTTAGCAAAGTTCAGGTTTCAGAGTGCTTTCGCTTCATAAATTTAGGCTCTGCTATGTTTGACCTTTTTGTTCAGTAAAACTTATGATATTATGAAAACAAAACAAGAAGAAATATGCTGAACAAAGCTATCAGATTTAAGGTCAGCCTCCTAACTTAGTCATTCTAACATGATTATTTGATTTGGGGTGGTTGCCCTGGTGCTGCTCCAGCCTGAGCTTTGTGTGAGCTACCTCCAGGCTATGGTCTGAGCAAGCAGGAGATACACTCTGATCTGCATTAAATCAGAAAAATGTCCTTTTGGCTGTGTCTAAAGGGCAGGACCCACTTCAGATTCTCCAAGGAGCCAGCTACAAAAAGCCTAGGACACTGCTGTCTTGCAGGCAGCACTTAAGTAGATCTTCATCCAATTCAATATCAAGGGCATTCCTCCTGGTTGAGACCCATATGGGGAGAACTTAATGTGACCTTCTCAGCAAATGGAATCATAGGAGTCCTCTGTAGGGAGTGATTCTGAAGGAGTCCTTTCCTGGAATCATAGTCTACCTGAAGAAAAAATTTACATACAATAATATGCATAAATAGATATGTATATGTGTATCTTTGTGCTTGGGAGATTGTCAGAGTGTAAACCATGAACAGCCTTCTCTTTATGGACAATCCCATAATAAAACTCAGAAATCAAGACAAAAGAAACTGGTTTCCAGGGATCTGAGCTTTGCTGCCCATACAAGTGTTGATTCATTTTTGTGCTTTTTATGATTTCCACATGAGCAGAAGTTTTCATACTTTCTATGTTTTTTTAAATAACTCAAATTTTTATTACTAAAAATAGAAAATTTGAGTACATTTAGAAAAAGAAAAAGTAGAAATTGTTAATCTTGTGCATTAAATAAGCAAGCAATGGTATCCCAATTATTTTCTTGATTATTAATGAGGTTAAATACTTTGTATTTTTTTTTAGTAGTTACGTTTTCTTTTTGATCAAATGTTCATGTCCTTTGCCTTTGTAGTACTTATTATAGTTGCTTTGTTTTTCATATCAGGTTATAGAATGTCTTTATATAATAAAATATAATTTAAAAGGAAATGGGGTTTATAGTGAAAAATTTTCCTTCCCTTCCCATACATAGTCACCTAGTTACCCTCCCCAGGGGCCATCACAGGATCTTGTATCTTCCAGACATGCTGCAGGCATATGAAGATGAATATTGTATTACTAAAGGCCTGATGCACGAAATTTATGCAAGAGTAGGCCTTCCTTCCCCTGGCTGCCGGCACCGTTTCCCTCTGGCCTCCGGCTTCGTCCAAAAGGACATCTGGTTTATTACCCTTTTATTATTACTAGATTATTATTACCCTTTTATTATTATAGATGATTATACAATCACTTATTGTCCAAATATCAATTCATTACTCCTTACACCCATTGTTAAGAGCCCCATTTTACAGATAAGGAAATGGAGGCACAGATAGGCTAAGTAATGTGCCCAAGGTTTTTTGGATAATAGTCGAGCTGGGATTGAAACCTGATTATTTGTACCCGGGAGGTATAATTTTCAAAGTTCCTCCACTTCTGTGAGCTTAGCTTCACTGTGGTCCTGGGAAGGAGGTGGGAGGTTCCACAGCCCACCCAAGGCCATGCTGCACTGGGGGCCCAGGTGGAACTAGAATCCAGGTTCTCCTTGGAGCTCTTTCTGGCACACACACACACACAAAGGTCTGCATTGTGTAAGGTCAAGGCCATGCACGTGGGCCTCCCAGCTGTATGGGTGGTTAGAGTCCATCTCAGGATGGGGCGGCTGGGTTAAATCCATGACTATATTCAATTCACTTCAGGGATGTGGGGTTTCCGGACGAGAAAGGAAGGCGCGCCGCAGACCGTTGGACAGACTTTGCTCCACATTATGGAACTGTTTTCAGTTTCCACAGGCCCTGTGACCACACCTTTTCTTACTCTGTTCTCTCTTCTGGGAACACACTCAATCCCATGTTCTTACTCTAGCGAACTCCCCAGGTGTTGCAATGCACTTGGGTTTTTATGACTTCCAGGAAACCTTGCCCCTCGCTGAGGTTGCATCAGGTGACCCCTACTCCAGGCTCCCACAGCACCAGGTGGCTCCCTATATCCTCCCGCGTACCACTTTGCATTAAAAACGCAGGGGCCGAATTCTTTCCCTCAAGGGCAAGGATCCCACTTTCTCCTCGCGCTGTTCCCTAAAGGTCAGGGCCCTGCGACACTCAGTAGTAAATGCATGTTAACTGAGACGAATGACCAGAGGTAGGGTGAAACGCCCGGGTTCCCTCATCTCTACCCAGATTGTGGCCAGTGTCCAATTCATTTCTGGCATGTAGAGGAAGCCGAGTTAAAGTTTAGTGAATTGAACAATTAATCGTTCTGCAAATACATCGTACATCTGCCCAGAAAAGCAATTCGGTTCCAAGACACTTAGATAAAAAACCCCTGAAGTGGTGGGCACAGAACTCAAAATAGTTCAAAGCATGTCATTTCCTCCTCAGCTGGGCTGAAAGCAGTGGGGGCAAGGAAAGTGGGTTCAGTCCTCCCAAGGGGTCTCATCATTACTAGGGCATTCTTCCCCAGATGCTGCTCAGTGCCCAGAGACTGCTCTGCTCTTCTAGGGTGGCGTCAGCTCCAGGCTGGGAATGGGTCTCTGCTCTTAACGCTCCTGGCCCCTTGGGGAGGCACACAGTAGGCCCGCAGGTTGTAATAGATCGGTGGTAAAATAAGGGAGGTTCCTGAAGTCCGTCTTGGGGCCGCCCCCACCCACTGTTTTCCCAATCGACACATAGCAGGCACTTAACGAAATATTAAATCTAATAAAGGACCCAAAGCAAGAGCGACTGGCTCCAACAGCGCCCCTTGCGGCGCTCTTCACCACGCCGTCACCAGGGAGAACCGACCCTCAATTGCGCCATCGCAGGCTAGACCGCACAAAGGATCTCAACTGCCTGGGCAGGGCCTTTGGAGGGCACATAGTGCAAGCTGTGCCCCACCCCTTTTTAGAGATGGGGCAAGGGGCCCAGAAAAGGGAAATGACGTGTCCAGGGGGCTCCAAAAATTCGCTAGGGGGGCTCGGGGCAGCGGTTTGAGGGTGGAGGCCGCCGAGCGAGCTGTCGGGAGCTGCGTTTGCAGAACCAGCACCCTGCAAAGACTTGGGGCGAGTATGTGTTTGGAGCGGCGGGGAGCTGGGGGAGCCCGGGCGCGGCGTCCGGCAGCGGAGTGGAACCAGGACAGGGAT